GATTGTTAATTTGTTGTTTGTTCTTCATACATTTTAAATTATTTGGCATTCTGGATTTGTTGTTGTTGTTGCTTGTTTTTCTCGGGAATATGAAATATTCCTTTGATGAACAGACTCAAATGTTGTTAGTACTTGGTTTCTGCGAAGCTAGTTGCAAAGTTAATACTACGAGGATTGTTTCAAAAGTAAAGTTGTAGGCTAGACGAAGTGTGGCAACACAGGCGTGTTTGTCGACCCCCGACCACCAATCCCAACAAAAAGCGCCTATTGGCGACGCTCACTACCGGCCTGACAGCCATGCGCAATGGAACCTTTCATCGCCGACACCGCCAGGTGCGAAATTCGTGCGGTCATCAATTCCTTGTACCTGAAAAAAATGTGGTTACCTTACGTTTGAGACAACCCTCGTATGTACCCTCTCTCACCCCTATAACCGCAAGCCCCCCAATACGCCAAACAGAAGTTTTTCTGATGATGATTAAGAGCCCCAGGAAAGTCAAAAACGAAGTTTAAGCGATTTTTTCTTCTTCTTTATAAAATATTATTTTCTTAAAATCGGTGATTTAAAAAAAATACGAGCACCTCAGCCGATTTTATCGTTTGTGTGACTGCGTCTGTTGAACTTAGTTTGTTATTATTTTGATATTTGCTTGGTGATTGATACTTGCAGTGTTGATAATGTGATAACATGACGCCGCGAAATAAATTCGCGTCGAATCATCGCCATTGAGTAAATTTTCGGAGTCACACCGTGAATCACTGTTTCAGAGGAAGCTTGCAATCTACGTTCAAGTTCTGCGAAAAGGTGTAACGCAGTTGTTTATTGCATCGAGAATGTTTAGATTGTAAGGTGCATTGCTCCGTACATATAAATATACATCGTTGTTGAATGTTAGCTTTTCTCGTTTGAATATGTTACTGCACTTGGTCTTATCGCTCGACATCAACAAAGCTTCTAGTCCGGACTTGATTCAGCTATTGTACCGAAGAAAAGTACAGAGGTGTTTGCTCTCTTGCGTCTCTTTCAGTTGTCTTACGAATGCGAACTTTATCACAGATTTGGACATTTGCTCATGTCCAGCCTCTCCCAAAAAAGGATGTAAGACCAACTGCTCTGTTTTCTGTTATCAGTAAGGTGATGAATAGAGACCGGATTACAGTGGTCCTCCGGTAATCCGACATACATTATGCAGGGCAGTGACGTACTACCGAATTTGTCGGATTATAGAGCACTGCCTAAGACCCCCTATAGTCCGGAATTTTTACAAAAGAGTACCTTGTAATCCGATAAATTACATATCCAATGGTAAGATTATATATGTTATGTATATGTATGTACTTTGAAGTACAAATCATACATAATTTATGTATGTCGAATTTAGTAAATTAAATAACAATAGAGAGCTTACGTTTTATTATACAATTAAGCATAAATGCACATACATATGTACCAAAATAATCAATAATTACACTGATCAACAGCCAAAAAATATCCTAAATAAACTCAACAAAATATTACTATTTTTAATGTGCTAAAACCGGAATGAAACTTATTTATTCAATATTAGTTCAAGTTTTAGAGATACGGTAATTATATGTGTTCCTGCTGTGACAATGTTAATATACTCACAAGAATGCACGTGCTACATTTTTATATTCGACAAGGAAAGATGATGTAATCGGCATGATTGTGTTACGTTATACATACGTGTACATTATATTGTTTTATATTAGCCATTTTTTCCTCAGTTGGCTGACAGCGTTCATGCAAGATGTCTCGAAAGTGTGTAAACAATCCAGATCAGTTTTGTTACGTGTGTGGTGAGGTGACTTTTGCGTCTCAGAGACGGTCTATTACTCTACTAATAACAAAGGCATATCAGCTTTATTTCGGTTGTAAACTAGGTGATCAAGACAAACAGTGGGCACCCCACATCTGCTGTAATACATGTGCTTCAAGTCTGAGGAGCTGGTTAAATGGCAAAAAACGGTCTATGCGCTTTGCTGTCCCAATGGTAGTTGGAGAGAGCCTACAAAGCATATTAATGATTGTTACTTTTGCATGGTACCTTGTGTTGGACAAACCACAGGTATGTCCAAGAAAAAAAAATCGGTTATTAACTACCCAAACATATCTGCGATGAGACCTGTGCCTCACAGTGACGAAAATCCTATTCCAAAACCCCCAGAATCCTACACTTGCGAATCAGAAAACGAATCAGATCATGGCGATCGAGTGATTCGTCAGGAAGAAGATATGCCATCAACGTCAAGAGATCCTGATCTTATACCGAGCACGTCATGCCACCAACCGCACAAAATAACAGTCAGAATTAAATGATCTTGTAAGAGATTTAGAACTTCCAAAATGTAAGGCAGAGTTACTTGGATCAAGACTGCAGCAGTGGAACTTGTTAGAAGACGATGTTTCGGTATGTGTTTTTCGTAAACGCCACAAAGACTTAGAACCATTTTTCAATATGGAGAATAACTTGGTTTTCTGCAGTAACATTAACGGCTTACTGGCGGCTTTAAATATAAACTATAACCCAGAAGAATGGAGATTGTATATAGACAGTTCAAGATTGAGTTTAAAGGCAGTGTTATTGCATATTGGAAATAATTTACAATCTCTTCCTGTAAGGTATGCAGTTCACATGAAAGAATCATATGACAATATGGAGTACCTATTGACATGCATAAAATACGATGAGTACCAATGGCATATTTGTGGCGATTTGAAAGTTGTTGCACTTTTACTTGGGCTGCAGCTAGGCTACACAAAGTTTTGCTGTTTTTTGTGTGAATGGGACAGTCGGGCAAAGGCACTTCATTACACCAGACAAAACTGGCCTGTTCGTCAATTCCTAGAGCCAGGTCAAAAAAATGTACAGCATATGCCATTAGTAGATTCGAAAAAAATTTTATTACCACCACTGCATATCAAGTTGGGCCTAATGAAAAACTTTGTCAAGGCATTAGATAGAGATGGGTCAACTTTTCAATACCTGCGTCAGAAATTTCCAAGACTAAGTGAGGCAAAGGTTAAAGAAGGTATTTTTGTTGGGCCACAGATTCGAAATATTTTGAAAGATACACAGTTTGAAAACACTTTAACAGGTATTGAAAAAACTGCTTGGAATGATTTCCGTCTGGTGGTCACTAATTTCTTGGGAAATAGAAAAGCTGACAACTATAAAATCCTTGTCAAAAATATGCTGTCATCGTATCAAAAGATGGGCTGTAATATGTCTCTTAAGATACATTTCCTACACTCACACCTGGACTTTTTTCCTGACAATTGCGGAGCCGTAAGTGATGAGCACGGCGAACGTTTTCATCAGGATATTTCAACAATGGAAAAAAGGTACCAGGGAAAGTGGAATCCTTCCATTCTTGCAGACTACTGTTGGACTCTTGGTAGAGATACTCCAGAAACGATTCATAAAAGAACAGCAAAAAGACAGCGCATATAGTGATTCTTATAAGTATATGAACCTTGTTACTTTTTTAATATATCCTTAAAAATAAAAAGTTTTTTTATAAACCGCAACTAATTTTTTTATTTCATTGTCATTTTTGGATTCAGCGCCCCAAAATTAACAAAGAAATGCACTTTTTCCACAAGATACAATTAAAAAACTGAAATTTGTTGTCCAGTGTTATTAATCAAAATCATTAATGAATTTATCAAATTAGGAAGCTTGGAAATATTCATCAATTTTTTTTAAGGTTGTTATAACGCGAGATCAGAGCTTTGTCCCTCAGTCTTCTCAAAAGTAAAAGTTCGTTGTAGGATGTACCATTCTCTTCAGCCCATTGTAAACCTGGCTCAAAGGCGTTAATTGCGTCGTGTGTTGTGACTTGTGGAGCAGTTGCAATCACGTCGTCGTTATTTTCCTGATTGTTTTTTGTATAATTAGAAACCTCTTTTATAATCTCTTCGTCAGACATTTTATGAAAAACATTTTCCTCTTTATCCATTCCACGGCACCAGACTTCCAAATCTTCCGGACTTATCCGAGTTTCAGTAGCGACTTGTTCTATAACTTCCGAAGTAGAACACTGATTTGTGGAACGTTGCTAGGAGTGGTGACTATATCTGGCCATAACTTTATCCAAGACGATTTAATAGTTGACGACGGTAACGCATTCAACGACTGACAAAGAGCAAAGCCCAGTCTTTCATATTAAATTAAGTTTTTTCTATTGGTTGGCCTTTTGATATGGCTCTCAGAAGTAGGTTTTTCTTATAGTCTTGCTTGACAAACTGAATGATATTCTGGTCCATTGGTTGAATCAGTGCAGTGCAATTTGGCGGAAGAAACATCGCAGTGATGCATTTATCCTCAGTTGTTAGTTCTTCTTCAGACGGATGACCGGGAGCGTTATCAAGAAGCAACAACGCTTTTTGAGGAAAATTAGATCTTTTAACCATTTTCTAACTTCAGGTACGAAGCATTCATCAAACACTTTTTGAAAAGGTCTTTTGTCATCCATGCATCTTTTTTCTCCGTAATAGTGTACAGGTAAATCAATTTTTGAATGCCCGTGGTTTATTAGATTTCCCAATGACGATCATCTTAAGAGCGTGTGTGCCCGCAGCGTTAGCACATGGTAGTATGGTTACACGCTCTTTACTTACTTTTCGTCTAGGTACGGATTTTTCGTTACAAGAAACGAAAGTTTTGTTAGGCATCACACGCCAAAAAAGCCCTGATTCGTCTGCATTGTACACCTGTGACGGGTCAAGATTTAAATCGTTCACCTTTTGCAAAAATCTTAATTTAAAGGGCTCTATGCAGGTGGCATCGTTAGAAAGTTTTTCTCCTATAATAGTCATTAAACGTATGCCATGACGACTTTTAAAACGTTCTAGCCATCCTTTGCTGGCCACAAAATCATCCTTTTTTGTTATTTCCTTATAAAAAAACTTCGCTTTCATGGCCAACATGGGTCCTAAAATTGGAGCATGCCTATTTCTTTCCTGAAGAAACCCCATGTACAAAGCTTCTTCCACTTCTGGATGTTCAGCTTTCTTGTGTCTGTCTCTTGCCTGGCCCGCAGTCAGTAGTTGACACGAACTTCTTGATCTTCTCGTGGTTTCTTTTAATGTCATAAATTGTAGATCGGCCTACGCCGAATTCACTTGCTAGACTACTGAAAGTTTCATTGCGATTTAAGCGGTCTAAAATATCACATTTTTCTTTAATGGTCAATGTTTTGTGCTTTCGCTTCTGAGTTTATGATGACATTACTAGGTACTATACTTAATACACAATGAATAAATAGTAAACAATGAACGCACGCTAGGGCGTACCGCAATCACCAGTAGTCAAATTCAAACTAAGTAAAACAATGCTTACGCGTCGAGCACGATAGCGGTGGCGCGTACAAGTTGTAACCTGTTAAAACCTGCGTGATCTACATTCGCGAAGATTGTCAAATACGTATGTATGTAATACATATTCAAAGACATGTCGGATTACAGGGGGCGCCGGATTATCGGGGGTCCACTGTAATTATAAACGCCATCTTGGAATGGTCACCACACTAGATTTGGAATGGCGTCACTGTGCTTATTGCGTTTCTTTCACGAAGCCCTTTTATTTGACTGCGAGAAAATGTAAATCGCCATTTTGCGGCGGTCACCATATTGGATCTAGAATAACGTCACCTTGCTTAATATGTTTCATCAAACCTCTTCATTCGACACCTATATCATAAGGGTTATTATAGAAATGATGAATCGCCATTTTATAGCAACCGCCACATTGGATTTCAAAGTGGTGACCGTTAATATGTTTTGTATTGTCACGCAAAATTTCAGTTCAATTGGTTAAGGTTAACTGATTCAAAATGCAGTTCCAAAATTGACCCCACACAAACTAACAAATACGTCAAGTTGAATAAAAGCTTGCAAAATGAAAAGTGTTCCTGATTATCTTAATTACCAGATTACTTCAGAAAGACGAGTATAATTTAATTAGTAATGACTTCAGTATTTCATTTGATATGCTGATTTGACCATCAAAACATTGGGCAAAAGACAAAAACATTGCCTTCCAGAAAGGTCCTTACCTAAATATTTTTTTAATGTAACAAGTTAGCTAGTTGAAATTTGGGATAATGAAATTATATTTTATTTTTAAAGTGACAGTTGAAAATATCAAGCTTGAGCGTCATCTTGGGACATGTTTATTAATAGAATTGAGGGTCATGCGATACTTCATTTTGAAGTTCCTTATTATTAATTTGAAAGCCTACAGTATGAATTTACTCTTTCAAAGTGGCGAACTGGCACGCTGTCAAAGTTGAGCATTTTTGTAAATTCTTGGAAAAGTCAATCTGATTATGCAATAAAATAGTACGTCTATACAGCTAGCAGATTTTGACAGTTTTTTAAGTGGAACAATCCATATTTTATTGCATATTCAGATCATTTCAAGATAGGAAGATTGATATACTATAAGCCTGTTGCACCGCTATTTTGAAAGATGTGATTTTATATTTCTAGGGGTGTAAAGTATACTGTTAAGTAGCTTTCAAATGAGCTACCACCTGTCCATTTAAAAAAATCTTCCAATATGGCGTTCATCCACCATATTGAGATTCACAACTATCGCTTTTACATTAAAATTTAGTATTTATGCGTCAGTTTCATCCCTCCAAATTTTATCCTGCTAAATTGACCCATTTAAAAAATAAGTAACAGTTGAAAGCATTGTATATCCAATTATTATATTTATGTGTAAAGAGTTTTGCAGTACGTGTTAACATGGATCTTTCAGAAAACAAAAAGAAATCATTATTATCCCAGACAAAGCTGTCTTTGAGGTCAATATAAAATATATTCATAACATTTTTGATCCAAACGTTCTAATATTACAATTTAAGGGCTCTAATTGAAACAGAGTCGAAGAAAAAAGAAGTGGACCATGCTTTAAAAAAATCGCAGTCTGAAGCTTCTCGCTATAGGAAAGAGGTTCACAATTTAGAAACCACTTATACACAAATAAAGTAAGTTATTTTATTGCATTCACAATATTCAATATTAACACATCATTTGATACACTGAGTGACAAAAAAAGGTAAACACCTAAGTATGTTTGTCCGATTTTAATAATTTTTGGCATATTATGTTCAGTGTCCCTTACTAGTAAAATGATTAAATGTTCAGCTTGTTTCGTCAACTGACTGCAGAAGCTGGTTCAATATGTGTTGAGGATCCAAGATTTCTTGTAAACTCATACGTAGGTGTTTAGCTTTTTTTGTCACTCAGTATATTTTGATCATTCATCATACATATCTTACATTATGCTTCATTGTTCTAGGAGAGAACTAGAGCATTTAAAAATCTCAACAGATAATGAAAGCAGTACTTGAGATCAAAGATTTCTGAGTTGAATGACAAGCTTACAGCTAGGAATAGTAATCATGACAATACAAGTCTAAAACGTGTAGCTCAAGAAAGCCCTGTAAATTACACCAAAACACCTAAGTTAACTAAATTGGTGAGTGGTTAAAAAATAAATATGCTCTGCTTTCGCCCATCCTAACAAAGGCAGCCAGCCTTGGACAGCTGTTTTCTTGTTTTTTGGCTACTCTTCAGCATGGTCTAGGCTTGGGTCTCTCGGACAACGCACGAAAGCGTAGCATACTATACAAGGTGTGTGATCTATCAAAATAAGACGCACTGCAATTCACTGTTTCGCAGTAGTCGATCTAGCGATAGATGACGCTTCGAGCTGACCTATTTTGGTGAGCGATTGTTGGGCATTATAATTATTTTTTACACTCCACTTTTTATTACTTTTCAGCCTCTACACAGTATATTTCTTAAATGAATGTCAGTATTTAAGAGGACGACTTTTGGATTCATTTTAAGAAGCAAACTTCATAATTATGAATGCCCAAAACATCCTAACTGTTGAGATACAGGGTGGTAAAGTTTTCAATATAGAAGATCAGTGGCATTTATTTCTGGCAAGATTTGATATCTTGAATTCTTTAACCCATCGCACGGTTCTTACCCAAAAAAATTAATTAGCATTGACATTGACATATTAACGGTATCGTTAGAATCATGCGGAGAAAATGTTTTTATCTTTTAAGCGAAGACCCTGCATCAGATTGATAAAATCAAGTGATCAAAATTGCTTAGAAATGATTGAGATTTCATGAGTAATTTTTATCTTAAGAGAAATCAGGGGCTTGCCAATGTCTGTTACAATAAGCAGGTGAAAATTTGTACGAACGCCAATGGAAATTAAAATTGTACATTGAAAAATGCATCTTTATACATCTATGCCAAAAAGTATCAGTGGTATTACAGATTTTAATAATACATGATTTGTTCTTTACCAACATATGGTGAACGGTACAATTTCGAAGCAGTACAACATGAAATGTTGGAGCTCCTCAAGGATCAGTATTGGCACCTTTGTTGTTCATTTTATTGTCAATGATTTAAGCCCATTCTGGCTTCGTAATAAGCTACGCTGATGATACCTCAGTTGTAGTAAGTGGTACTACATTTGAGGAACTTGTTCGTAATATTACCCTAGTGGAAAGTGAAATACAGCTATGGTGAATTGCTTGATTTTAAATACCGGCAAGACTGTTATCGTTCACTTTAATTCTTATAGGTTACAGCTTCACGACGTCGACACTTACTCGGGGACCTTTTGAGGATGATTATGGATTCCAAGCTTACTTTAAAAATGCATATTGACTCAATATGTAAAACTCTCGACAAATCATATTTTGCCATCTTAAAATTGACGCACTGTGTATCACAGGCAGTATTGCTTAATGTTTATTATGCGATGGTATACTCGCATTTGTCAAGCCGGTATTGTGAAAAAGGCATTCATAATTCAAAAAAGAATAATGAGATTAGTTTTTAACATAGCTAGACGTGAATCTTGTAGGTCTACATTCAAGATTAATGATCAGCTAACACCTATGGCAGTCTACATCTTTAACTGGGCTATATATGGATTCCACAACAAATGTAGGTTTGTTAAAAATAAAGATGTGAATGTTCGTTACAACACAAGAGCTGGCATGGAGCATACCATCACATGCATTAACGATGCATTCACGATATTTGAAAAATCACCTGAGTATGCGTGTATAAAAATCTGTAAGCTTCCCTCTGAGCTTAAAAGACTTCAGAATGTCATAGTACTCAAAAAACGCCTGATGAGGTGTCTTGTGGAGCTGTACCCCTACTCAATAACAGACTTTTTACGAGTATGTCATTCATTCTTTAATATAAATTATACATATATTTTAACGTGCCTATTGTTTCATTCAATGTGCTATTGTAACTGTTTTATTAACCGAATCTCTGCACTCTTTTTACGTACTCATCTAATGTAATAAGCATCTACTGTATTACAGTTTAGATATTTTATGCAATTATTGACTTCCACAAATACACTTTGTGTAAAATGCCAATAAATAAATACAACTACATACGTTCATATAAAGTTTTGTCTCCAAAAATCGCTTTTTTAAATACTGACATTCAATTAGGAAACACCCTATTTTTTCCTTTTTTTTTAGAAAGAGAGTGACATACCTGCATCTGATAAACCAGATGTCGAATCACCATATCTGCAATTAAAATCAAATGTGGGCATTGGTTATGGTCAATTTTTGAATGCAAAATATATTTCCTCCAAAGATCTTCCTAAGGAAGGTGTAAGTATACTTACTACATATTTTTATTTTATACCGAAGCAGCCGCGCAGGCAGGAGCCTAAATGCCAGGCCACCATGGCTGCTGAGATGATCCCAAAGAAATTTTGTTAATACCATTTTTGAACTGCCTAAGGTTAGTAGAACTGGGAAAAGCTTCCTCTTGTAGATTGTTCCACAATTTCGACACCTTCGGGACAAACGGTCGTATCGGCCAGTTCTGGATGTACGAAGTTCGACACGGTTAGGATGGGGCGCCAAAGTCAGGCGGGTCTGTCTGGCAGGCACATCGCGCGGCGGCATCATGGAAGAGGGCTCTGCGGAGCAAATCCCGTTGGTGTAGCGGTAGAAAAGAGCTAGATCGCCGACGGCCCGCCGGGGCGAAAGGGTCCTGAGACCGTCTGTTAGAGAAGAGTCATCGATCAGTCGGACCGCCCTCTTCTGGACAGCATCGAGCATAAATAATGGAGTCGGGGCGGCAGCACCCCAAACGTGTGAACAATACTCAAGGCTAGGCCTTATCTGAGCCTTGTATAGAGAGAAGGTCATGCGGACAAAAGTACTTCTTAGCCCAACTTTTTCCCACCAGCTGCCACTATTGACGAGATGTATTCGTGCCAGATTAAGTCCTCGGTGATCTGCACTCCGACCAGCCGAGCTGAACGGCTCTTTGGCAGAACTCGACCATCCATCGAAACCGGATGAGCGCTAGGACGCTTTTTGTTCGTCAAGGTACAGTACTGTGTTTTGGCACTATACAAGATTGTTACGTCCCCAAGCAGTGATAACCTCCAGGTCTCTCGTCAGAGATGAAGTCGTCGCTAGTCTTCTTTTTTCCAGCTCAGCGATATGTCACGCTGAATTCCTGCATGTATAGTGCGGTCATCAGCGAAGCTGTGGATTGGGTTGATCGTGCAGAAAAGGAGGTCGTTGATATGTAAGGGGAGCCAAGACCGATCCCTGGGTAACACTCGCGTTGACGATGTGGGATGAAGAGGAGAACCCGTCAATTACGACGGATATCTTGCGGCCAGAGATAATGTCAGCCACCCATCTGCAAAGCTTTTCTGGAAGGCCTGGAAGGATGGAAGTTTGCTTAAAAGGGCAGCGTGCCACGGCTGATCGAACGCTTTCGTGATGTCAAGAGCAACGACATGAGCCTAACCATAAGACTGGATGAGTTTACTCCACAATTCCGTGACGTAAGCTAGGAGGTCCCCTGTGGATCGCTGGTGCCGGAAACCACACTGCTGTCGCTAATCAAGCTGTGACGTTCGAGGTAGTCCAGAAGCTCGCGATTTATGCACCTCTCCATCACCTTACTTATAACAGAAAGCAGAGCTATAGGTCTGTAGTTGTAAGGGTCGGTCTTAGATCCTTTTTTGGGATAGTTTGGACATGAGCAAATTTCCAGTTTTCTTGGAAACTGCCGGATTCATAAGATATCTGGAAGAGACGCGACAGAACTGGTGCAAGCTCCGCTGCACACCTCTTCAGTACAGTGGCAGGAAGCAAGTCCGGATTAGAAGTTTTGTTGATGAGCAACTTTCCGCATAGTGTAGGGGAACCCTTTGAATTAGCACTCGGGCGTTGGGGGGACGTTCATGGTGGAGTTGTCAACAAAGACCTTGGCAAGCACTTTTGCCTCGGTTTCAATCGTTCCATCCTGACACATAAGTGGTGGAAGTTACGAGTACTTTCAATCTGCTTGGCCAGCGTCCAGAAAGACCGACTGCCATTGCGCTGTGACATTACCATGTGCCAACTTTTATATCGTGCTGGTCTTTGGCATTGCGAACCGCTCCGTTATATTTGTTTCTGGACTCGACGTCGGTTTGTCTGTTCTCTACAGTGGGTTTTTGTAGAAAGGTACTTCTGCTGGCGAGCAGTGTCACACGATTTGTTGAATCAGCCGTTGGACCCCGGTTCAGGCACTTTCGCTGTGTGAGGGATGTATTCCTCCATTCCGACGTGGATAATTTCGGTTATCGAAGAACGGGCAGCCGACGCATCCGCATCAGTGAAACAGACATCTCTCCAAGGAAAGGTAGAGAAGAAGTCTCTGAGCCCCTCCCAGTCGGCATGTCCGTAATGCCAAATTTTGCGGCCTGTACGAGTTTATGCTGCCTCAGCGGGTTCTGGCCGAGACCTAACCTCCACGACACAGTTGTCTGAGTTACCCAGGGGGGGGCAGGACAGCAGTGCTGTAAGGGACAGGATGCGTGGTCAGAAAGAGATCCAGCAGGCTACTGGCATATGACGAGACGTGGGGAAAAAGGTAGGGCTCGTCTCCAGCTGGGTCAGCCTTGAGTAAGAGCGACTGCACGACCTGCTGCATCGGTCTTGAGCCCAACCAAAGCTCATTATGGACCTCTGAAGCAGTTTGATTGATATTCAGGAAGTCGATCTTGACGGCGAGGTATTCAAGTAGGTCATCCGAGTTATGGTCCGAGGGAGAGCGATAAAGGAGCAAATAAATTTGAGTGATGTTTTGGAGTTGAGGCGAAGCCACAGAGTGTCCCTCCGGTCTGATTCCAAAGAAACATCTCTGGAGCAGGAAAGACTGCTGCGGACAAAAGCCACAACCTCGCCCGGTCTTTCTCAGATTTCAGTGCTCCTCGTAATTTGAGAAGCTAAGATAGTTAATTGATGCAGACTCTGAGATTTTTGTTTCCGCCAAGAAAAACACGGCGGGACGATTGGATTGCAGGATGTGGATTAACCGCATCAATGTTGCTGTTAATCCCGCAGACCTTCGAAGTTGTTCCTCGAGACCACCCCCCACCCGGACATTCCGAGAGTGGAGTGAGTTTGCGCCCTCAATTCTTAGTGCTCGAGGGATCCATCATCATCAATTTCTTTGTTTTAGAAGATAACCGACTGCATAGCTTAGGTGTGGAAACTTGCGGACATTTAGAAGACACCCTGGGAAAAGCTAGCGGGTGGTACCGCCTCGGTCGACTTGTCCTTGTCTGCCACCTTCTTCTTGCGCCTTAATGATATTAAATAGACCTAAAGTGGCCCGTTGGCCGTCTTGTACCGCTATCCGGCAATCGGTACCGAGGTATTCCTTAACACGTGTACAATCGCTTGAACGGGAAGAAGTTGTATAATGGATACAATCACTTCCGGTACAAGCATTTGCTACGGCCCCGCTCAGTAGGGTCACATTACATATTTATTGCAAAACCTATATTTCGACAGGTAGATTGAATCATTTTCGAAATTTCCTCGCTTATTGCCGAAGGAAGTAAACAACACATGTCTGCTATTATTTTTATAATCATTATTTTAGGCTTCCAAATTGAAAACATCAGCAAAAACAGATATCTTACAAACCAATAAACAATCTAATGTATGTTACAATGGCTTAGGAGGATCCAGCAAAGATGATGTATTTCCTTCTCCAAAGTCATCACAAACATCCACTAGTAAGAGGAAAAAAATTACCTGTACAAAGAACAAGTTCAAAAGACTAGCACCATCTGCAAGTGCTTGCACAAAATCTTCCGATATTTCTGAAATGTTTGTAAGCCTATCAGGGTAAGTTTGCCAAAATTGTACTTTCATTATCAGAGACAGCTTCAGTTTTGTATGCTATGAGGTAAAGGATAAAATACGCACCAACCCCTCATTAATTAGGAATTTTGCACATTGAGGTGGTTGCCTAACTTGCTTACTGCCTGTGGGTGGCCTGGTCATTATACTTTGCATTCTTGTTAAGTGATGTACAAATGCTAGAAGCATCATACACTGAATACTGGGAACCTGGCGCATTTTTGTATACAGATGCTAATACATGCTATCAGGGCCAGTGGCGTAGCGAGGGGGGGGCGGCGTGGTCAGTCCGCACCGGGTACCACTCAACTTTTTCAGAATTGAACTCCAGACAAGATCGAAGTCTCTTCAAGACCTAGCTTCATTGTTTGAGATCGTAGAGGCAAATTTTGGCAAATACTGAAGAACTGAAATTAGTTACATCCAAATTTACTGATTTTATGATGAGGTCTCAGAAACAGAATTACTTTCTAGATACCAAGATTGTGAAAGCTGTTAATGTTACAGTTTCTCATTGGGTATCTCTAGATTTTTCAAAGTTTATTGTAGAATGGGATTTTACAGAATCTCTTCCAAATCTTATGATTGCACTAAAATTGATCATGAAGGTTTGCGAATCCATAGCTTCATGTGAAAGTAGTTTCAGTAAACTAAAATTAATGAAAAAACTATTTGTAGGCATCAATGAGCCAATCGCAGCTTAGCAATCTTGGTATATTAGCCATCGAACATGAGACAATACAAAATATAAATTTTGATGAAGTTATTTCTGAGTTTGCAGCTGTCAAAGCTAGAAAAAAGATTTTAATTGTAAGATAAAATATTTTTTTGGTTTTATTTCAATATTTTAAATGATCCATGATGTTTATAAATCATATAAAATTTATTGCTTTGACTTTCGATGGGGTGCCACCCAAGGTAGTTACACCACTGATCAGAGCATTTCTATAGACCAAACTTGATATAACAAATACGAGTCACTACAAAATTTGACAATCACAACTAAACTCAAAATGTTACGTGCATTATTACCATATTGTCCATATTAGGTCTTATATGGAAACACAATAGGAGCTATGATAATTCCCCTAAAATTTTGTATGGTCAGAGTATCTAAAATTGATATCCTTCCTTGAAGCTACATTAATGTTATTAACCTGAAACTTTTATTTTACAGATCTACCAAGGGAAGTAATTCTAAATAGTAGTTACTGTTTTTATTTAATTTATTTTTGATATAGTTTATTAAAACTACATTACTTTTACTCTACATTTCATTTCTTGCCTGCTTTAGCTCCCCTTTCAGCTTTACGTTCTGCAGCTTTTTTCACTTGTTGTTTGGTGCTCAAATTATGCCTTTTTGAAACCTCTGGTTCTTCAAAAATTTAGCATCCATCTAAAATTGAATACAAGAGTTATTATTTAAAAGTACTAAAATTCGTTTTCGCAGGGCAAAATTACTAGATGAATATATAGCTAAAAGGAATACAATTATGCAGGGTTGTTAGAACTCTTCAATAAGAAAAATAGATGTTAATACCCACTGGCTGAATATATGGTTCACACTCACACTTTCATAGTTAAACTGGGTAATTCTCTAATTAAACTGAACTATATAGAATTGTACCAATTTAAAGCAAAATAAGTTGTATATTGAGATTATACAGCAATACTTACACCTAATGTAGATTCGTGGAGGAAGCGTTTTGGTTTTTTGATACCATTACGGTGAGCTTTGCGATCTAAAAAAAAAATTACTTGATGAGAATGTTATGATAAATGTTGAAATTACTTACTCTGGTTGTGATTGGTGTGGTTCTTTGACTTTGCCATTGCGCTTTGCGTAGGTAACTTGTCTGCAGAGAGAAAAGAAACGTTTGTTTTTAAAACAGAAATTTCATATTTGAGGTTAGATATATTTTCTTTTGAGCAATTGTAGTAAATATTGAAATATGTACAGATGAAAGCTTTCAAAGGAAAAATCAAGAATTTTAATGTAATAGTAACAAGTTTTATTAAATGATTTCAAGGATATATTGCGAAATTTTAAATGTAAGAAACTAGCTTACCAAAAATCGCTGTCAAAAAGAATCCCAAATCAAATAGCTGTCAATAACGCCATACGTCATGTTAACGTGTGATGTCTATTATCAGGCTGCGAACAAAATGGGTCAAAAATGAAAAATCCCTAGTAATCCGTCGGCGTTGCCAGGCTGAAATCATTTGCTTTAATCTAAGAGATTTTAAAAAATTGAAAATTTTGGTCAATTTTTTGCTACATATAGTATGTTTTTTATCAAATGTTAGTTTATCAGAGGCTTATACGAACTGTGGCATATTCTTCAGTGATTTAGGTATTATTCAATACAAACTTCATACATTAACGGTTCAAAAGTAAATATAGAGAACTCTGTCCCAAAATATTCCCTCAGGTACTATGATGGCGATTAATTCTTATATACACCTTGACCTGCTCAAAGGTCTAATGGATTGCGAAGAGGCGGATATAGAGGCGCTCCACCCTCTATATCGGCCCAAAAAATAATAAAATTGCAAAAAAATAGTGGAAAAGTAGATTGAGTCGGTAGTTTCCAAGTATTTCCTACGCCTGTTTTCAAATTTTCCGTAAGTCAAGATAAACATTGCTAAGAAACAAAATGCTTGAGCTCCATAATTTTCAAAAATGAGGTAGCATTACCTACTATGTTCACAGTGCTCCATACTCCGATAAACTCCGTTACCCCTCGCTATTTGAAAAGTTTTGAGGGTATATGTGCACTTTTACAGAAAGTTATCTCTTGCCAATAATCCACCCCTTTGATTGAGAAAACTTCCTGTGAGCACTCATGGTTAATACTGATAATTCATATTAGGTATTGAATACAAGCAGCGGAAAACTTTTGATCGTTTTATCGAGTTAGTAAATGGTGTGCCACAGGGGTAACAATTTTGCGCAGGTTTTATGGAACTTATATCATTTATATGCATCGGATCTTCCAAAAACTTCAGTGAAGAAACTATTTTCTCGCAGTACGCAGATGACACGTGTGTGTGTGCGTGTGTGTGGGGGGGGGGGTGAATGGACCACGCGTTAATAAACTATTACATTAAGTTGATGTGAAGGTGTGAGTAATTGACGCGTACATTATCATTTTCGATTATTTAACTGTGCAACTTGTACCAAGTACAAGTCGGACTGGCTTCATTTCACTCGACATATGCTTGAAGAAAGCCTATAAGGTTGCAGGTGGCTTTTGGCGTTATCTTCAACAACTTGAGGAAATGCTCGACAAGGATCCCAACCGTATCAGGGTGACAAATTTGCAACACAAAATGCTAGTGAACCTACAGAAACAACCAATCACAGATCTACCTGTCCACTTGGCCCTTCAGCAGCCAGGGTATCAAAGGTGAGGACAACAGAACCCTCCACAATGACTTTTCTGGAGAAACTTCATGCACTGCTTTTTCGAAAAGAGAATCTACGTCCTTTATTTTATATGCGGTATTACTCCTGGCTACGAAACCTTTGACTTGATTGCGCCCACACCAATCCAATGGGATTGAGTTCGCACTGATAAGTGGGTAAACGAAGAATAATGACGCCGTGTTTTTCAACAAATCTACAATGATATATTTTTACTGTTTTGAAGGTTCACCTTAGCCATAAGCTTGAGTGAGTAAACTTTGTGAGGCGTGTGATAGCACATCGCAACGATCGGAATAAAATGAACGAATCTGTTGGAACGGGTCCGACAACGGAACGAATCCATGGAAACCGAATCCTTCAATGGACCGGCAGGTGTATTACGTAACTTGAAAAGTGACATTACGTCCGTTTTTGCAATTATGTAGATTTTTTATAACATTACTTTGGTTTTCCAAAGACTCGTCAACTAGGAACTAGCTGTTGCTCACTTCATGCTCGCTTGTAGCAAGCGCTGAATGAACTATTTGCACACAGCCTACTTAATCAACAAGTTGACGGTTTATCGGTTTTTTGACAATATGTAGTTTTTTTACGTAATAACCCCGCCGGACCGCCCTGCACCGCAGTGTAATGTCTAGATCAGTATCAGTTTGTGTCGTACCTAACGTCGTACCACAGCCACGTGGGCAGGGCAGATTTGATGGTAGCTTACGACCATCGGATGCTCGCACAAATACAATGAGATCGCTCGTGTCAGATATTAGGCACAAATAAATTAATGTTACTCTTTTCCGGAAAGCACAATAAAAACTGACTCAGGCGAAGACGCAGACGGGGTCATGCGCTTTTTTCATCATAAGCTTTTTTGAAAAATAAAATAACTTTGTTTTGTTAAGTCTAATCGATGAACTTGGCAACAATGGAATGAATAAAGAAAAGGGTCCCATAACTCACAGCTGTTAACTGTCAGTGTCAAAAAAGTGTGCTGTCAATACGCATATAGAAAAAGTATATAACTGGAATTTACTCTAATATCTTCAAAGTAATGTTTTTACTTTCTTCTAGATACTCACACGTAGAATTGGAGAAATCAACATACAAGGAACACTCCAGACTAAGATCGTTGTAACATGTATTTACAATGAAAAAACTCAAACAAGGTTGTATTATTAGCAAGACGTTTTGCGAAATGATTTACGACGAGCAATTTGTAATTTCTCGAAGGTTGTGCGAACTCGAGTAGTATCATGATTAGATATAGCCTTTGTTATGGAATATCCGTTGCAAGACTTTGATAATAGTCACGAAACTGAATTTCTACTGGGCAATAACCCAAGTCATGGAAATGAAATGGATGTGCATACAGCTAAATCCAACAGAAGTCCTCGCCGGCGAAGAAGTTTAGGATGTTTCTTATGCAGGTAAAGATATTTTAAGATCAAGACACTATACCCTAAATATGCTACATGAAATATGTGATTTTTCTACACAGAGCTTAGGATGCTAGTTATATATTATATGAACGTATTGCGGCTTTTAAAAGGTAATTCTGGTATTGACTAGATCTCTACTAAATAACTTTTATTTTTTTGTAGTTTCTGCAATCATGGATCTTTAATTTTACCACCTATTTATAGGGATTTCATTTAGTTGTGGTGGCACTACTTTAATCATTTATCCAATATGCAGTGTTGCCAGATTTTGTGTATAGGCAGTAGCAATACTTCTCTGCGTTGTCCCTTTTCACAGTTTTGGCGATTACGTCACAATGCCGTATGAAATAAGTGAACAGCTTAACTGTACCATATGCGGGAAGTTCACACTGCGCAACCAGATTCTTAATGCGGCTGCTAACTACTCGCTCTTACACACGTACACGTAACTTGGGTGATACAGGGCCGTTGTTTTCATTCACTTTCTGAAAATAACTAATAAAAACACAGGCTGCTCTTGCACACTTTCTGAAAATAACTAATAAAAACACAGGCTGCTCTTGCATGCCCATGACAGCAACTTGTCATACTAACAGTGACAAGCATATATGTGGAAGACTCGTACGTTGACGAGAAATATTTCAAGGCAGTGAGACAGAACTAAATAACGTCTGAGAGCTAAAACAAACAATCCTCTGCACATAGAGGCCTAATGTATTATATGTAACATATGTTTTGATGGAGATCGATTTATACTCACAATGGACAAGTTTACCGTTTTTTTATTATTAGCTCAAATGAAAGTTTAGGAAAATGAAACAAGATGGTGGAAAAATTATTAATTTATCTCTAAAAAAAAAGTACAGCCTAACAAAGTTGCGCCCCGCGAGAATATTTTTATTCCATCTGTACGTTACACGTGACGTCACACTTCACTATCCAGTTGCAACGCCCGCGTCCGAATCCTGGGCCGCAGCCGACTCAATCTCCTAAACACATACAGCGGGACACATGGTAGGCTAAACGTCTTCCGAGCCAATTTGTTTAATTAATTGACTGCATATACGATCGGCTATGAGCGAAATAAGAAAAAAGGTTGTTATAAATACTGTACCGTTCCAAAATGTACGAGCACAACAATTACAACCCTAATAAACATTTTTTCTACGTACCTTCACACGCGGCGTCCATAATGGTATGAACTTACGCGGTACTCAATAGTTATCAACTGGAAACCACGTGTCCGAGCGCACAGGTGTGCCTTATGAATTGTTTATAGACTAATGACTAAACGCACAGACGCTGTCGGACACCTACGCGACGGGACGCTGGGCACTAGAGAAGTGTGACAAGTCAAGTCATCGTTGGTTGTCAGAGCGGTCCGTGGGACCTTAGCTCTTGAGTCACAGTGTCAGTTTGTAGTCAGAACGAATGTCAAGAAAAACATTTATTCATTCAGCAGAAATGATGAAAAAAGAAATTAGCAAAACCGCATACAGGTGGATATCATTTAGTGAGTTTATATGGCCATATTTTAATATCTTGTGGTATATGGCTACACAGGATACTTTGTTAAGCATAGGAACTACATTTAAAGTGTCCCCAACAACCGTAATGAGTATAACTAATAAGGTGCTCCACTTTAAATACCAACCCAAAATGGTAATACCATTTCCATTTGGTTATCCGCTTGAATTTGATTTATATAAATTTGATGAACTGTCAAAATATTGACATATGTCAAGTGCACTTTAGACTGTGAACAAGGAAACAAATCCGTGACTGGCTCCTTCTACCTAGTCTGAGTTCGTTTGGTTGTTTCTGAAAATCTGGCAACATCGCAATATCTCACTGTTTTCTATCATTTCAGCTGTCATGTCATTTGTTTTTGTGTGGCCTAGAAAGATAAATATTGAAAATTGATTAATCCAGACTCTTCATTTATTTGCCTTTTCCGTAATAAATATTACTTCACGTTATCTAGTGTTGAATCCTGCGGAATGTAGTTTATCTGTTGGGTATTACGGGCAGTGATTGTGCGTTCTCCAATATGGATAACGTTGAAACTCAAAGCACCATTACCAAAACATCAAAAGAGGATATTCCTCTAATTGCAAAACCATCCAGGGACTCCTCTTGGGGGTATTATGTTCTTGTATAACTCTTTTTTGTGTGATTTCAAACCATAAACTGAAACGACATATTTTAGCGTAGTGTGACCTGGAAATTTTTGACCACCAAACGTACTGGAAGTACCATTGCACTGCACTGTTTACATGTTTATAATTTATATACATAATTAACATTAGTATTGAAATTGTTGATACAATAATTATCTAGGAATATTAAACGCAATAATTTGTAGTATATAGCAGCTTCTTTTTTTTATTCAATACTGTCTAGGACTAGGATATACAGATGAGTCAAGCCAAATTTGGTGGGAGAATTGTTTGAACAACAAAGTAAAGCATGCACATCATGTGGGAGCTTAATCAATTTGTTTTTTTCATTTTAATCAGTATGTAGTTTGATCAATGAGACTAGTTTTAACACTGTTAAGGGTTTCTGAAATTAGCTTGACAGTGGATCAAAATTAGGATATATAACTATGAATTTCAGATCCAAATTCTGTAAATGAAGTTAACATAATTATAAAAAAGAGCTCCTCATGCAGAGGTACACAATTTTAGCATTAAATTTGCTAATGCAAAGAAAGAAACCTGCAAATTAACACTGAAGTGATAACCATAAGTCAAAGTATTTTGTCGATCAAATTACATTTTTTGTTGACAATAACATTCTTTGTTGACAATAACATCTTAGAGGAGCTGTCTATTGACATGACCACTGTGACATATTGACCATATCTCACTACAATAATCCTATGCAGTCTAGAAAAAGTTTCAAGACACAAAATGATGGTGACCTTGACCTACACCTTAAAGGTCATTTTCAAATGGAACCCCCCTTTTCACATCAGAAAATTTTTCATCTGAACATCACACCTTGGGCATTCAATGACATCACCATTGCCTTCAAGACTATTTCAAGGTCAAATCATGACATTGAAAACAATTAGCTTTAGCATAAATGTTGGACAACACAGTTCTGAGATTTCACCCAAGGTCAAGTTAAAATTTCCGACGGAAACCCAGGATGAAACTGCCCATTTTTGTACTTCAAAAGGAGAAAGCAGGAACTTTATGTTCGAATGTGATGTTGATCTCAAATAACATTTAAGCTCGACACAAGCTTAATTTTAAGGTGAAGGTCGCATTTGGACATAACATTACCTGCTGTTACCATTTTGACTATAATTATGAGAGGTTTCCTTCAAAAATTTTGACTTGACCTTGAGTATCATGGTGATCCCACAAACCTCACAACTGAGCTGTCTAACATTTTTGCTAGGGTAAATTGCTTTTGATGTCTTGATTTGAGCTGAAATGGCCTTAGAGGTCAATCAAGGTCATGGCCAAGGTGATGTTCAGGGGTAAAACTTGCTCCTCCCCTTTTCAATACAGATGCGAAAAAGGGGAGCTCCATTTGGAAATATTCAATTGACAATGAGTGTCATTATCAAGGACCTGTCATTTGCCTACATTAACCCTACAATTTTTATTTGAAACTTTTCTAGAATACAGTTTTCAAAATATTTAGATGGGGAGATTTAAACCATCTATGTGAAAAATTTAGTAGGCTGTGAAGCTTAAGGAGGGAGGGGGGTAATTTTAATGTGCAAATAAAGTGAAGTAGAAATACTCTCAATTTTGGAACTCTTGCAAGTTCAATTAGTTACTTAATGTGCAAGTTTGACTACTATGTTTGACTGACCTTGTTATTTTACTGTTTGTGAGATCGCAGTGGTAAAGCTGAATAAAAAACATCCAGTATAGAGCTGAAACTATGAAGGAGTAACAAGTAACACATTGATTTTGATTCTATTTATTTGCAGTTGCTGGCGCTCTTTGTTCAGAAAATGTTGCGGACCCCGCATTCTGCAGCCTCGCACCATTTCTCTGGGCAAGCCGACTCCCGGACAGTTCCCCGCGAACGCCATAAGGAATCAGAAATATAACATCATCACTTTTCTACCCCTAGTTCTCTTCCAGCAGTTCAAGTTTTTCCTCAACCTCTATTTTTTGATTATGGCTACAAGCCAGTTTGTTCCAGATATACGAATTGGGTATTTGTATACGTATTGGGGTCCATTAGTAAGTATTCTATAGTATGTTTCTTAGTTTCATCATTTGAGAAAATATGAATTTGTCATGCTGGGACTTTCTTTATTATTAAACAGTAGATTGCATTTCAGATATTAATGCAAATATATTTCATTTTTTAGTGTTTTGTACTTTTTGTGACTATATGTAGAGAAGCAATAGATGATTTACGCAGGCACAAAAGAGATCAAGAAGTGAATAACCAGAAATGTAAAAGACTATTGAATGACGTCAATAAACCATTTGAAATAGTTGCTGCGCACAAACTGAAGGTATTTTTTGCTTAAAAAACTATGTAGGTTGTTGCATATGATGTGGTAATACTTCAGGTTAATATTGTCCAAGTTAACTCCAAAATGAAAAGTTCATAGGAACATGTGTCTGTAATGGCCTATTTTTTCTACAGTGCATTTCACTTTAAGGTTGGCAACCAAAAGGGTTCAAAACTTAGTTTGTTGCTGAAATTGTATGTGGTGAAATCAGTTCTGCATACGAATGTAGTAAAATGGTATGTCAGGAGTATTAAAAGTATTATCCCTGCTTCAGAGGTAGTTCTCCTCAGTGATTCCAATGCCCATAATGTGGGTTGGTTGGGCTCAAACAAGACCGATGCAGCAAGTCGTGCACTTGAAGCGTTCACTCTTACTCAAGGGCTGACCCAGCTGGTGACGAGCCCTACTTTTTTCCCCCGCGTCTCGTCACATATCAGTAGCCTACTGGATCTCTTTCTGACCACGCATTCTGTCCCTTACAGCGCTGTGTTGTTCCCCCTAGGTAACTTAGACCACAGTGCTGTGGAAGTTAGGTTTCGGTCAGAA